GGATAAATACAACAAAATAAAACTAGTACCGGTACCGAAAAAAAGAAGATTTATTCATAACACACGTAAAAAGACCCAGGAAAACCGAGTAAATGATAAAAACGATAACAAAATAACGCTGAAAACCGATAAAAACCCTGAAAACTATACATTTCACACCTGAGCCTAAACTCTCACGGCCCGGTACCAAACGACTCACGGACCGGTACCAGGGGTTGGGGACCGCTGGTCTAGGACACTGCACATGTACACATCGTGTGTCAGGACATGAAGGAGTCACCTGTCCACCAAAAACACCTTCATCTAACATCTGTGAACACCTGTGTAAATAGACCATATTCATATTTGATAAACATTCTGAATAACGTCAGTGTCCATATTTATAACTGCATGTTTATGTAATACTATGGACAAATGTACTCATAATGGACGTCACTGTAATTTGTTCTTTTAAAGACCCTAACCCTTTTTCTAGGCTGGACTGTTGCTGCACAGCATCTTTAGTTACACAACTTTGAATTTATTTGGGATTTTCCGTTTGGATTATTTTGTAAAGCCCATAAAGGCTCAGAATTACACAAACAGGCTCACAGATGTACTCATGCCTCCACTAATATCTGGTTAAACGTCCCTCAGCAGCTGCAACATGCTAGCATCATTCTGTCTGCGTAGTTGGTGTAACTGGCAGGGCTGATGTAAATGTGGTGGTTCTGGTGATGTAGACAATACATCCTGAAGGTTTATCACAGTTTATCAGAAAAAGACTGCGTGTAATTGTCAGCTTGCCCCTTTTTAATCAGTCTGATAGCTGACTCTGTGGTAACATTTACGGCAGGTTTTAGTGACTGAACTTTATACAAACTAGAATCTTATTGGATTAAACAGATATTGACAACGTTGAACTTTAAGCTTTAACTTTAAACTGTAATGTTCTCAAAATCGGAGCCTCGGTGGTTTCTGGATTATTTCCTGTCAGGTACAGTTTGACAAAGCGGTGACACTGAGGCTGAATAAGCTCATCTTATATACGTTTGTTTGAATTGATGTTGGACTTTGCAGTTGCTCATAAATGGCTCTTGTCTGGAAGAAGAAGAACAATATCCACGTCCGTGATAAATGTATGTGATCTAACCAGAACTGCATCTTTCCTGCAAAGCCACTGCGATGAAACGCGTGTTTGCTGCAGAGCCTGACAGACTGTAACACAATGAAACAGTGAGCGGTGTGCCTGCTAGTTTATCTAATTTAAAACGAGCTCAGGTTTATTTTAATAAGTGTGCATTTCAGCATGAAAGGTGAAGGAGCCGGGCAAAGAAGTCTTCTGGGACAATCCCAGTTTAGAATGAGCATTTTTACCCTCGTGACTGGGTCCAGTCACTGACACGGGACTCAAAGAGTGTAGTTTGTTTTTCTTACACATCTACACTGTAAAAGGCCGATCAGGTACTGGGAAGGCTGGGTGCTGTGGACAACAATATAATGACTCGAGGACAAGGCAGTCTAGGACTTTTAAATATCCACCGTAGGAACAGCCACTAAAACTCTTGGTATGTTTGAACTTAAGTGACCTCAACCGTAAGGTCAGAGGTCAAGTTTTCAGAAAATCACTCAGGATCTACTCAGGCTGAACAGCAGCATCTCATGTTGAGCTGTGATTGATCAATTGTAAAATAGGGCTGTGCGATATGACCAAAATCTCATATCCCGATATAAAACATCTATCGTCGATATAACGAACGGTATAAATCACAACAATGTAACATTTTCTGTAAATTCTGTGAATCAGCTCGTCTTGCGTGAAGTGTTTCCAGCTGGGCGTCGTGTAGCTGGAGTCGAGTGTTTTAACCGATGCATGAAACGACACATTTTTAGACATAAGTTGTAACGGACGCCGTTTTCTTTGAGTATTTATTACACGGCGTGCTGCGGGGAAAAGCCTGTTCTAACGTTTGAGTCTAAGGTTTCTTTTTTAGCACCTGGCGTCTTTTTTACTTCTCACCCGTAAATAATCTGCATCTTTCACGTGATTCAGTTTATTTTGAACTGTCTCAACAGGATCTTGAGCTTTTATGTGGAACATAAACAAGCGGACACGCAATGCTGTTACCGTCGTTGTTGCTAACGACAACGCATAAAAACAGGCGCTTGTCTGTCTGTAGTGTGGTTATATTAAATATAAGAGAAAGAGAGAACTTTAAGAACTTAACAACTACAGTGACATCAGAACGATGAAAAAATATTGCTGTAGAGTTTATTTTGCGACACCACGAAACAAACGATAGACGTTTTTATATCATCATCCGATATATATCGTTATATCGAACAGCCCTGCTGTAAAATAACATAACATTGTGTTTCTGCAGACCTAGCTACAGAGATGTCAACATGGGACGGCGTGATCGTGACTCCCTCAGAGAAAGCCTACGAGAAACCTCCGGAGAGGAAGGAGGAGGAAGATGAAGCTCTGGAGGAAGGAGGGGACGGCGAGGATGAGAGCATGGAGACACAGGAGTAACGAAGGTTCGAGCATCACCAACATCCACTGCATTGCAGGATGAATGCTCTGTTGTATTTATCTTAAAGAGCTGAGTCTTCCTCATCATCATCATCATCATCATATGGCTAAAATGTTCATCGCTGTGTTCGTTCTGACAAACACGACCTCGCTCTGTTCTCTCTTCCACAGTAAACGTGGCGAATTTATCGACCCTTCAGCCTGACTCTGAAAGACCAGCAGGAGTTCGTACGACAGTCACTGGTCCCCTCGTGTCCCTGATTTCTTTCTTTTTTTCTTTTTATAAATGGTAATGTTGGTTTTGTTTGTACTTCCTTTTTGTAACAGTTGACATAAACTTATTTCTAGTTTTACTGAGTCTTCTGTGTCCTTTGCAAAGATGAAGGTGAACTGGGAAAAATTAACACGCAGGTCTGGACACACGTCTCACTCATTACAATTAAACTTGTAGGAAATAAAATCTATGCAACACACAGACACTCACAGTCACTCACACTCTCTCACTGTGGGTAAAATAAGTACTGAACACATCACCAATGTTTCCAAAGGTGCTGTGACATAAAATTGACACCAGATGTCAGGAACAACCATCCAATCAAACCATCGACGTCCATAAATTATGTGTAATAATGAGAAACAGGGAAAACATATTGAACACGGTCACTGAAATGTATTTAATACATATATAAAAGCCTTTGTTGGTGATGACTGTTGGGTCTTTCGGGTCAGCTGATTGGCTGGGCCATGCTTTATTTTCCTTCTGTGAAACCAGCTGAGTTTGAGACGTCAGCTTCATCTTCATCATCCTGATAGATGGCAGCAATTTTTATTTTGTCTCTGTAATTGTTTCCATTCATCCAGCATCAGCTGAACACATCCTGATGCTCCACCTCCAGGCTTCACTGCTGGTAGTGTTTTTGGGGTGATACGCAGCACCTTTCAAACGTGTGCATTACAGCATCCAAAGAGTTCAGTTTTTGGTCTCATTTAATCAGACTATATTCTCCCAGTATTTCACAGGTGTGTCTAAATGTTGTTCAGCAAACTTTAAACAGTGAGCATTACTTGTTTTCTTTAAAACCATTTTTTCTGCTGACTTCAGGTCTTCCTGTAGCTCTCCTCAGGGTCTCAGCTCCTCGACGACCTTTCTGATAATTCATCTCACTCTTTTGAAAGCTCGCAGCACACGTTATTGTGGAATTTCCACTTGCAGATTATGGCCCAACAGTGCTCACAAGAACTTTGAGTAGTTTTGAAATTCTTCTGTAACCAATGCCATCGAAATGTTTTGCAACAACAAGGTTGTGACGGTCGTTGCGAGCTCAGTCGTTTCATCATCAGGTGTTTTTTGTGTGACACGTTGGTAATGAGACATCATTTACAGGCCGTCAGTTGGGACTGAACCAGCCTTTCTCATTTCTGCCTTTTTGCACCTTTCTTCATGTTCAATACTTTTTACCTCATTTCATTTCTGGACATCTGTAGTTAATTTTGCATGTGTGGATTGGATGTGTTGTTACTGGTGACGTCGTGTCAACAGCACCTATAAATATATTTACTTATAAAACTCACGTGTTCAACACACATCTGACACAACTTCCATCAGCATGAGACGACTAATTCTTGATGTTGGTCTGACTTTGCACAAACACTGTTCATAGTTCATGTGGAATCTTAATCCTGGTTACAGATGCAATAGATCCAGTTGTTACATGTTGTATGAAACTGGATCTAATGTTGTTACACGTTACTGTAGTGATTCAGACAAATCAAATTCCTGTGGATTTATTTCTCCAGTAGTTAAGTCACTTAGTAGTTCAAAAAAAAGAATATCTAAAATACAAACTTGCTGGGAGCAGGCGGTAAAATCACACATGTTGAAAGGTGGTTTCCTTTAAAAACTTTAAACACAGGGCAGAAATCACACGTTCTAGAGTGATACTCTGTTACAGACACGGTCATAGACAGCTGATGTGATGGTTATGTGCAGAACGGCAGCAACTAACATGGTTTAGCTTCACATGAGGGAAGCGAGGCTTTTAAAGCAGCAATGTGATCTAAGGCCAAACAACCGTGTTCATGCAGGTCTGAAATGATATGTGAAACTGGTTTAGCATTTTAGAAACTCCTCAGCTTTTCTGTAGCAAGAGATTTGAAGGAACTCGATCACACAGCACGGTGGCAGTACAACGCCTCCTGCAGTCACTGCTTTGTGTAGAATCGGGGAAAAGAAATTTTGTTAACCCCATTAGATTTTTCTCAATCCTTACTCGTCCTCAAATGAATATGTCTTACAATTCATGGTTTGAGCTTGAGCCAGGGGTGAACCATGGTGAGGATGGACAGGACGGACGAGGCCAGGCCACAAGCCCCGACAAAGCCTGGACCTGTAGGGTAAATCCCCAACCGGTCCAGTGGGATGAAGATATCACAGCTGTTCTTCACCAGGTCCAGCAGCAGCGGCGGGTTGCTGTACAGCACAGTCCCCACCAGATGAAGCTGTCTGTAGAGCCAGCCAACATTCACGGCTTGTGTGGCAGGTGAGGAGGAAGAGGGAAGGTGGTCGGGTGGCAGAGGGATGCTGGGGGAGGATGGCTGTTTGCTGGTTCTGGAACGTGCTTCGCGCTCCACGAGGAGATGGAGCTCGTAGGCATCTCGGGTCAGGTTCAGGATCAAAGCAAAGAGGTAGTACCTGCAGGTTTAACCACAGTTTGTTTCACTACAAGATAAATGTGATTCCTTTGTGAGCCTGATGTGAAGATGACTGCAACCACTCGCTTCAAATCAGGCTTTGAGTGCATGTCAGACAAACTCAAACCACTGCTGGAAGTGACACAGATGAGTTAAATACCATGACTTCACACCAGCTCTGGTTTAAAGCTCTGCATGTCCTCTGAAACAGCTTCAC